CCGGTCAAGGGCATGTACCTCCATTACACGCTGGACCCCTGCCTGCAAGAGGCAACTACTCAATGTGTCTCTATGGGCTCTCCCCCTCTCCCCCTCCCTTCCACTTTCTCTGAAAATAAGTGGGAAATATCCTCAGTGAGGATGAACTAAACTATCTGAATAAAGGAATCTTTTTTTTTTTAATAAAAAGGAAAGAAATAGTAAGAGGTCACCCCAGATGCTCAAGAGCGGGGCTCAGTGTTTGAGCTTCGACCTATGAACCAAGAGTTCAGGGTTCAATTCCTGGTTGGGGCACACGCCCAGGTTTCAGACCCCATCTCCAGTGTGCGGTGTGCAGGTGGCAGCTGATGGGTGATTCCCTCTCGTCACTGATGTTCCTCTCTCCCTCTCTGGAATCAATAAACATATTTAAAAAAATAGGCGTGGCCCCTCCCTCAGAGTAAGGCCTGAGCCCCCCCAGGCCTGAGTGCTCCGCCTCCCCCAACCCGCTCCTGAGCGCACTGCCCTTCACTCCTAGGCGGCAGCTGGTTCCCGTTCACATGTGACCCGCTCAGACCGGCAGGGCAGCAGGCCCTCTGCCCTCAGGGACCGTTTCCTTCCTCCCCAGCATTTCTGCGGAGCTGCGAGCTCTCCCGCAGGCTGCCTCTCACTGGGCGTGTAAGCTCCACTCAGCCAATGTTTACCAGGCACTGCCATGCGCCAGGCAGCCCCGGAGCCAGGACGCGGCTGGCGGAGCAGACGGCCCACGTCCTGGGCCTGGAGCTCGCGCGGGAGCGGGAAGCAGAGCTGGTCAAGGTGACTCAGCGGCTGGGACGGCCCGATTTCCTGTCTCCGGGAGTAACCAGGAGGCACGCAGGAGCGGGTGCTGGTCCGTCCCCCACCGAGACCCAGGGCTCCAGGGCCTCCCACCCCCAATTGAGCGTCGCTGGCAGAAAGCCTACTGCTGCCCACCGGCCATCGGCCCAGATGTCGGCATTTTATTTTAACTGTTTTTATTGGTCTCAGAGAGGGAGAGGGAGAGAAAGAGAGAAACATCAATGATGAGACAGAATCATGTATTGGCTGCCTCCTACACGCCCCCTACTGGGGATCAAGCCTGCAACCCGGGCCTGTGCCCCTGACCATAATCGAACCCAGGACCTTTCAGTCCCCAGTCCGACGCTCTACCCACTGAGCACACCATCCGGGGCAGATGTTGGTGTTCTAGGCGGAGATTGGCTGACCTTGACCTGCAGAGCCAGGTGACCTCTAACAGCGGCCTTTTTCCAAGCACATCAGTCACCCGCACTCTTACCTCTAGTGGGGCCAGCCGCACCTGTGAGCGCAGGCGCTTCCGCCGCCGGTTGCTCAGACACCCTCCCTCCCGGGCTGCCCAGAGGCCCGCCCTGCCCGACCCTACAGGGGGACCCCGAGGACAGGCCCTTCCTGAGGCAGCTGGTCCCAGCGAGGGCACCAGGGAGCCCAGCGCCAGGGCTGTGTGG